GTCTAGGACATGCAAAAAGAACATACTCAATACATGGGTGTCTGTTACATTTTCTGCCTCTCTATGTTCATTGATTATCAGGAACAATAAATACAGCCAAATAGATGAGTTTTAACACATCATACCTTGTGCTGATCTTTTCTGATCAATAGTTCAGACTTTATCTTTCAAGGTGAAGAACCAGAGTCAGTAAATGCCTATGTCCTGCCACTGTGATGCCACTGTGATGACGACAGGAGAGAGAAGCCTATCTTCTGAATAATCTACAAAAAAGATAGGGTACTGGATGTATGGTTTACCCCAGTCATTTCCTACAAGAAGTTTCTGCCTCTACTCTATAGTTCTTTGAAAAGAATAGAGAGCATGACAAGTGGGTAATTCATATGTCCCTGCCTGGCTCAATATGGCTGATTTCATGGTAGACCAGGCTACAGGAGAACCATAGCTAGTTTTCAGAATTCTCCCAAGTGAAATCTTTGATTTTAAGAAAATAAGGCAGAAGACAGACTTTTATTGCATGAATTTTGGAGAATCTAAGGTGCTAACTAGCATCTTTATCATTATTTTTTTGAGACATTGTATTTTCATATCTTGATTAGTTGCATTAGCTTAATTCCACACATGTACACCACGTGTTATAGCCATGCCAGGGTAATATGCACTTTTATCTCTTAACTCATTAATCATTTTTATGTGCTGGAAATTTATACTCTTCTCTGATAGTCATTGTTTCTAGTCATTTTTAAAAATATCACAAACCATTGCAACCAATCACTTCCCTCATCTTCTAGAGAAGATCCAGTTTCATGCTAACTGTGATTCATGCCCCTGTCTCTAGCAACTGGTCTTCAAATCTGTTTTTTTTTTTTACATGGCCCTCCTATAATTTTCTACAAATCAGTGAATATATATTACATTTTCTTTTGGTTTCTTTCTTTCTTTCTTCTTTACTTTTTTGTATTTTTTAGGGAAGTGTCTACAGAGTGTTTGGGTTCTCAGTACTAGATCCGACTCCTAGTGATCCACCTGTTTACAGCCTCCCAAGAGCTGAGATCACAGGCTTTTATTGATCTCACAGGCTGAGATCACGACCAATCTCAGTTTCTGTCTCAGCATGCCCCGGGGGTGGAGCTGGCACAGCAGGCCTGGGGATTGAGCCCCCAGCCCCTGCACCTGCTTGCAGGAGCTTTAATTCACTGAGCTATTTGGCTGGCCTATGGTTTATTTCACTTAATGTAAGACCCCCTAGTTTCATCTATGTTTCTGAATATTGTTAGATTTTACCACCCTGTTGGCTCAATATCTTGTGTCTTACACTGCCTTTTAAATCATTCATCCATGAAGGGCATCTACTTAGATTCCATAATTTAGCTATAATATATTTATAGTGCAAGGACTCAAGGAATTCTGATTTTGTTATGCTTAGTATTCTGGTGTAACATGTTCATCTCCTTCTGATGTCCCCAGAAACAGAAATGTGAGATAATATGGCAGTTCAATTGTCAGCTCTTTGAGGAATCTGAATATAATCTTCCAGAATGACTGTGTTAAGGTGTCATTTCTGTGTATCTCTGCACACATTAATTTTCTAGTATTTGTTGTTTTTTGTTTGCTTATTTGCTTTTGCCTTTTAGATTATAGCCCTTCTGACCGGGCTAAGACAATATCACTGGTTTTGATTTACATTTCTCTAATATATTACTAAAACTGAGAGGTTTTCTTTCAAGTACTGGTTGGCCCTTTCTACAGCTTCTTATAAGAAGCAGAACCTTCCCATTGGGCTATATCTCCAGCCTGTATTTATTTATTTATTTATTTACTTACTTACTTAATTGCTTACCTACTTGCTTACTTACTCACTTCACACACACACACACACACACACACACACACACACACACACAGACCGGATCCTCCTGTCACCCAGGCTGGATTTAAACTTGCAACACCCCTGCTTCAAGGTTCTGAAGTGCTAGAAAGTCAAGTGTACATCACGATGCCACTTTTGCTTTCTTTTTGTAAAAACTAAATTGTCTTTGATGTTCTATTTTTTGAGTTGCTCAAATATTCTGGATGTTAAGTGAATGAATTCCCATTAATGCCAAAGCTACTGTTATTGAGATGATCACAGTTTTATTTCATAATTTATCAGCGCCAGCCAAATAGCTCATGGGTTAAAGCTCGTGCTTAGGCAGACATAGAGGTCGGGAGTTGGATCCCCGGGCCTCCAGTGCTGGCCCTGCCTCCTGGACATGCTGAGACAGCGATCCAGTCTGAGCGTGGTGGCACATGCCTGTAAATCCCAGCATTTGGGAGGCTGTAAACAGAAGAATCACTACGAGTCCAATCTATACAGTAAGACACTGTACACCCTGTACACCCTTGTCCTAAATACAAA